AAAACCTACCTTTGCCTGTTTTCTTTTACTTGTATTCCATAACACTTGTAAGGTAAATGTAATTACTTTGAAGTAATCATAAATGCTTTCATGAATCTCCTAGAGATTGTTATAGGAATGTAATACATCAATAGAAAGGTGAAATATTGTGGTGGATTTTTTTTTAACATAGGGCTATTGAAAGTTAGGGCGTAGAGAATGAAACAGGTGGAGGAAAATGGTTTCTGTAACAATGGTTTAATTCTTTTATACCTATTCTTAATACAATCTAAACAGTTCATTACCAAATAATTTTGTTACAGAAGTGACTGTTACATGTTAGGGAATACATTAAGTTTGTATATTGAGTAAAAAAATACTGTGTTATAAGTGCAGTCCTCTAAAGCCTTCCAGCATCAAGTTAATTTTATTTAGGAGAAAAAGTTTATACATGGTGTTTTTTTAATTTTTGTTTTCATTTTTTTTGGAGACAAAGTCTCTGTCACCTTGGGTACACTGAGTAGAGTGCTACAGCATCATCATAGCCCACAGCAACCTCAAACTCTTAGGCTCAAGTGATCTTCTTGCCTCAGCCACCCAGGCAGGTGGGACTACAGGAGTATGCCACCATGCCCAACTAATTTTCCTTTTTTTTTTAGTAGGGACAGGGTCTTGTTTCTGGGCTCAGGCTATCCTCAAACTCATGAGCTCAAGTGATCCATCCGCCTCAGCCTCCCAAAGTGCTGTGATTACTATATTGTGACTTTTTAAATTTAAGTTATATTTGTTTTTTGCATAAGTATTAAAAGTCACATTAGTACAACATGGAAAGGTGCAAAGCGTATACAGGGGAGCTTAAGCTTCATCTTTTTGTAAGTCACCCTGTGCAAATGTCACCTGACTCTTCACAATGCACTGTGGGAGTTGGGACTCTAGCAACTAGCATAAGAAAATGCTGATACTCTGACTACTGATATTATGAGCAATAAAGTCTTTTGTCTCTGATTCAGGTGTCTCCTGTCTTGCCATTATCTAATAAATTATGGCAGACTAACTTGTTAGCATGAAAGGAGGGTAAAGTCCCAGAGCGTTCATAATTCTTGACACAATTGAATGAATTTTGACAAATGTAAACGGTCTTGTGGTTACCACCACAGTTGGGTCATAGAATATTTCATATTTCTGTCACCCCCAAAAGCTCCCCTTTACATGTATTTCCCTCTTCTGCCTCAGCCCCAGACAGATCTGCTTTCTGTCTCCCTAGTTTTGGCATTTCTAGAATTTCCTATAAACAGAATTATAAAGTAATTCTGTTGTGTCTGGCATCTTTAGTTAAGCATTTTGCCTTGGAGATTCATTCTTGCTCTTGCATCACTACTTCATTTTCTTTTATTGCAGAGTAGTATTCTGTTGTACGGCCATACCGCTATTTGACTATGCATATATCCATCTAGCAGTCATCACGCATTTTTATTGGTTCTACTTTGGAACTATTATGAATAAAGCTTCTATGAACACTTGAGTGAGTCTAATTCTTAATGTGGACATTTATTTGTATTCTGTGGTGGACCTTCGTAGGAATAGAAATGCCAGGTTTTATGGTGTACTTTTAATAATTTGGTAAAGAACTGCCAGATTGTTTTCCAGCGTGTATTGTTTTGCATTTCTTTCTGGGCATCTCATTTTGAGTGAGGGTGAAAGCAGCTTTTCTTATGCTGGAGTTAATGATACGGTGAAAGCTAGAGAGTTGGCCACCTCAATGGAAGCTCCTTACGTTGGCCACCTCCGTGTGTTGCCCAGTTGCTACAGTCCCTTGAGAGGTCAACTTACAGAGGTTCTACTTTGTCTTTCCTTTTCTATCAACTACCTATTTAAATCTTTCTGCCTGTTTTTGTGAAGTCTTAGTGTTTTAGTGATTTGTAGGCTTTCTTCATATGTTACGGAATGTTTTTGGTCATTTGGTCATGCTGTGGATTACAGTCCTTTCCATTTGCCAAGTATCTTTTGAGGTTTCGTATAGTGGATTTTGCCATGCAGACATTTGTCTCTCTGAAGTTCTCAATCTCACAGTTATTTACTAATGGTGTAAGACTTTGCATCATAAAGAAAAAGGATTTCTCTTTTAATTAACTTTAAAAGTATAAATTATTCTAGCAATGTTTACATGGTCATGACTTCAGTGGGAATAAAGAAAAATAATCCAAAAACTTGTTTTCTGAATTCTCATAAGAATTTTACCACCTTTTAGGGAATAAAAGATAGAGTCTTTAAATTATGTGTATAAATGAAAAAATACTAAAAAGAATATAACATGTGTTTGTTACAGAAGTACCTTTGCCAAGATGTCGGTGTTGCAGATTTGGCTAGTACCAGCCTTCTTTATTTTCCTCACTGCTGAATCTATGGGTAAGGTGCACGAAATATCCTAACTTCTAACTCCACAAACCAGGTTTATACAAGGTGGCCATAAAGTTCGTGGGCAATTTAAATAGTTACAGTGAACTTTATTGCCTCTCTGTATATCTTTATATCATTATATAATTGAATTTATGTTTAAATGTTTAATTCTGTTTTTATAGTTTTTCTAGGATAATTATTGAAAAAATATTGTCTTAAAATGATTTTAATAATTAGGAATACTCTTGATAATCTGTTCTGTCTCATTTGAGTTGTCGCAGTCATTCAGTAATCCTAATTGCTGTTTAGCTCTACTAACAGTAACTTTAAAGAGCGGAAGGGAAGGAAGCGTGTTTTGTTTTGTTTAGCACTCCACTCTTTAATTTCCAGAAGTGTCACTGACCAGTGTGCTTATGATAGCTAGAATGAAGAAGTACCTGAAGCAGTGCTAGTCAGACTGAAGTTTATAGCTTGATGCCCTCCTGAGATCTGGTTGTTACTAGTCCATGGTGACATAAATACAGAAATTAAGAATAAATATTTAGGTAGTCTTAACAGTTTTACATAGCCATGACATCCAAGCATGTGATCAGTGGACCTGTACTGTCAAACACAGTATAAAACAAAAGTATAAGTTTGTGACAGATTGGAAGAGGTTAGCAAAACTGATCTTTCTTGACAGTTTGAGAAGCACTCCTCTAAATCACTCCCTCACCAAATCCCAGACACTTAAAGTAACAGAAAGGATGCGTTTTAAATCTATCATATTTAAAAAGAGCTTCCTTATTCTTGAATCCACATTTTCCTTCTTGTAACTTTTTCTTATTAGTTATACTTCTAGAGTAGGCCAAATTTCTCTTTCCACTCTTTTTATCTTCAAGTATTAAAGGATTGCTTTCCTCTGTCTCTAATCCTTTCCCCCAACTGAACTTACCAGTTATCCTATGTGTGTGCTGACTGTCCTCCTGATTCTTCTCTCACTTGCCCATGTAGCATTTACAGTATAATACCATCCTAACCCTTCCACTTACCTGGCTATTACACTTTGGCCAGTTATTTAATCTGTGCCTCAGTTCCTTACCTATAAAATTCAGATACTAATAGTTCCTACCTTCTAGGGTTTTAAGGAAGATTATATGAGTTAATATATAGAAAGCATTTGGACAGTGCCTGGTCAATAGTAAATATATGGAAAAGGATAGTTTTTGTATTATAGTAACCATGTTAGTATGGTTATTTTTTAATAGAACATACCTTTTTTAAAAAATGTACCAGAACTAAACTGAATAATGTGGCTCTCTTACTTACATTAATCTGAACATCATTTTTATAAAGCAACATAGTTTTTTGGCAGCTAATAAGGTACAGTTTTATGTTAAGTAAGTGGTCAGTGAAAATTCTCAGGTTGTTTTTACACGTTTATTTGAAGCCAGTTCTCCCTCACTCTATTGTATTTGTTATTAACCTAAGTAGGAAATATTTCCTCTGTTGAAAATTTCATTTTATTAGATCTAGTCTATTCTTCTAATCTTGTGAACCCTAACATTTTCTTCCAAAGTTTTGGCAATCATTCATAGTCCTGTCCTCTGCCAATTGATAAGTGTGTGTCTCAGAGATAAAGAGATAAAGTTGATGAAAATGTTGAAAATAGCAGGACTGCATTAGCTGTCTCTTACTGCCTTACAAAGACTCCAAAACTTAAAATGATAATACTCATTATCTGTCATGGTTCCTCTGGATCAGAAGGCAGATAGGCAGATACAGCTGGACAGATTCATCTTTGCTCTGTGAGGCCGAAACTAGAATATCAACCAGGGGCAGGAGTCATCTGCAGGTGCATTCATTTATGTTTGGTATTGTTGCTGGCTGTAGGCTGAGGGCTTTGCTGGGGCTGTTGATCACAACGCCACACATGGCCACAAAGTGTGGCTGGATAGCAAGAGCAAATGTCCCAAGAGTGAATGAAAGTTGGAAGCTGGAAGCTGTATTCTTTTAATGATCTAACCTTGGAAGTCATATAGCACACTCCACTGTCTGGAGTAGACACAAGTACCCACACAGATCTGTGATGGTTGAGAGGAAAATAGACCCCACTTCTTTGTGAAAGGAGTATCAGTAACATTGTAAGGAGAATGTGTGGGATGGAAAGAAAATATAGGTGTAGCCATCGTTGGAAAATACAGTCTTCCTCAAGGACTGAGGAGAGGCAGGCACTTTAGCATATTCTGCTCAAGACTACCCTCTCAGTGACTTTTTTCTTAGTCTTTTTTTTTTTTTTTTTTTTTTTTTTGGTAGAGACAGGGTTTCAATGTGTTGCCTAGGCCGATCTCGAACTTTTGGCTTCAGGTGATCTTTCTACCTTGGCCTCCCAAAGTGCTATGATTATAGATATGAGCCACCATGCTCAGCCTAGTATTTTTTATATATGTGTAATCAATTAAAGATTAATTTGAATGTATGAAAAGTAGCCAAATATCAGCAATTTCAAAATGTTCATTCTAATATCTATTATAGTACATTCTAATCCACATTTCTTCATCTTGCCCACATGAATATTCAAAATAACTTAGTCAGATACTTTTATTAATTAAAATATTCTCTTTCTACAATTTAATCTCAGTCTGATAGCTCTGTAAAAATGAGATTAATTTGCATAGGATCCTTTTAATGAGCCTGTTTCACTTTGAAAACTGAAACATTTACCCATTTTTAATATTTTTCTTATTCTATGTGATTAGAAATGAGTAACATGGAATCTTCTTATAACCTGGTGTTTAGTCCTCTAGAGGGTGTATTTTATATCTACAGTTCTCTGTAGTTACTTTAGAGAAAGTAAATCAGGAGTGTTTTGCTAAGGAATAAAGTGAGGTCTAGGGAATTGTAAGTAAGGTCTGGCCTAGTATCATAGGGTATCTTATTTGTAAAGATCTTCGACATGAAGTTCCGTACTATTGGAAATTGACAGTAATAAATGCACTAGGACTTACATTAGACTTGTATTAGTAATGGCAAAGTGATACAAAGGGCTACAATATAAGTTTTGAAACAAAGACATACACATTTGTACTCTGGGCCTTATATGCCTTATGAGAGGTCTCAGGTTTCCATTTGGGAGTACAGTTTTTGTTTTGTTTTGTTTTTTGTTTTTTTGAGACAGAGCCTCACTCTGTTGTCCAGGCTAGAGTACGATGGCTTCAGCCTAGCTCAAACTTCTGGACTCAAACAATCCTCCTGCCTCAGCTTCCCAAGTAGCTGGGACTATAGGCACCTACCACAACACCCAGCTTTCATTTTTCTTTCTTCTCTTTCTTTCTTTCTTTTTTTTTTTTGCAGTTATTGGCCAAAGCTGGGTTTGAACCTACCACCTCCGACATATGGGGCCAGCGCCCAACTCCTTTGAGCCACAGGTGCCGCCGTCTTTCTTTTTTCTTTTCTTTTTTTTTTTTTTTGGTGCAGTTGTCATTGTTATTTTTTAGCTGGCCCAGCTGGGTTCGAACCCCTCCAGCCTCAGTGTATGTGGCTGGTGCCCTACCCACTGAGCTATGGGTGCCACCCTTATTATTTCTATTTTTAGTAGAGATGGGGGTCTCACTTTGCTTAGGCTGGTCTTGAACTCCTGACATCAAGTGATGCTCCCACTTGGCCTCCCAGAGTGAGTCACCAAGCCTGGCCTGAGAGTACAGCTTTGACTACAAAAACTGTTTTTAATTTTTCTTGCTAAGTTTGAGTGATATGGAATAAAAAAACAATTGTTTAACTTTTAAAGTTAGTTTTATCCTTTGTGTCTTCTCACCTGGAACAATGTTTGACGTTGGATAATTAAGGTTGACTCTGTAAAAGTGTCGCACCTTTCTTTGCTATAAAATAATGGGCTGACATGAATGCTCTCCATGTGTCTTTTCAGATTCATAATTCTGTTATTCTGTGCTCTTACCTTAAGTACCAGAACCATTCACCTCTGATGGAACCTTCCAAACCCTATCAATGTGATGCGATCCCATGGATCTGGAAAGTAGTAATAACGTTGCTAGACTACTATTTATTGGAGGCCTTTTGAGTACCGGGCATTGTACTAAGTGCTTTACATAGGTCTTTTTTTTTTTTTTTTTTTGCGGTTTTTGGCCGGGGCTGGTTTTGAACCCGCCACCTCTAGCATATGGGGCCGGCGCCCTACTCTTTTGAGCCACAGGCACCACCCAACGTAAGTCATTTTTAATTTCAAAATACCTTTCATAGGTAACCACCCAAAATACTATTGGCAGGTAGGATTCATTGAAGAAAGCTGCCTTAAAATTGTGAACACTGACACAAAAGAAAGAGAATAGAATCAGGCCAACTAGTTGGAACTTTTATCTTGCTAGTAATAGATAGCCAGTAAATAATTTAAAGTAGGTAAATGCCATAATCATTTTATTAGGTCATTAACTCTGAAATGTCATATTTTGAATCAAAACTTTATTGTATCTCAAACAAGTAGTGCGATGAATCAAAATGTGCGCCAAAACTATCAACACAGTTTTGCCAGGTAGCATTTTTACTCCAGCAGTAAAGAAGCCTGGGGAATGAGTGGCAATGAAATTATGAAAGGCAGTTTCCACAGCTTTTTGAGAATTCAATATTTTACCTTGCAAGCAATGGTCCAAAACCTGGAAGAAGTAGGGATTGGTGCAAAGAAAGCCTGGTGAATATGGTGGATGACAGAGAGTTTCTGAGTTCAGTTTCTGTAGTGTGAGCAGTGTTGTTTGTGCACCATGCGGTTGAACATTGTCTTATAAGAGGATTAGCCTGTCTCTATTGGCCAGTCTCAGCTGCTTAGTCTCAAGCATCCTCATCATGTCGTCCAATTCCTTGCAGTAGACATCCACTGTAATCGGCTGACCAGGTATCATGAAGCTGCAGTGGATAAGACCAGTGCTAGACCACCACACAGACACCATCAGCTTTTTTTTTTTTGATGAATATTCAATTTTAAACTGTGTTTCACCACTTCATATTTATCCAGCCATTGTGTAATTTTCATCACACATACCAACACAGTGTGGAAATGTCTCACTTTTATGTCATGACAGCAAAGAAGGGCAAGCTTCGTGATGATTTCTTTTCTGACACTCTTTTAATACATGCAGAATCCATCTATGCAGCTTTTTTATCTTGCCAATTTGTTTCAAATGGTTCAGTATTGTTGGAATAGTAACGTCAAACCTTGTGGCTAATTCATGCATAGGTTGAGATGGACTGACTTCCACTACAGGTTTCAGCTCAACATTATCCACCTACATCTCAGTTCACCCACAGGGGTCATTTTCAAGGTTAAAGTCATCAGAATGGAACTTCTGCTAAAATCAGCAATGTACTGTGCATTCTTCATTAGCCATATCCTTCCCAAACATTCCATTTTTAGCTGTCGGCATTGTACTGTTTCCATGATGGAACTCATATTCAAAAATAACATGACTTATCTATGGTTTCACAAAAATTGCTCTTAAAAATTATTTTTGAGGCTCGGCGCCTGTGGCTCAACCGGCTAAGGCACCAGCCATGTACACCTAAGGTGGCAGGTTTGAATCCCCAGCCTGGGCCCGCCAAACAACAATGACGGCTGCAACCAAAAAATAGCCGGGCGTTGTGGTGGGCGCCTGTGGTCCCAGCTACTTGGGAGGTGGAGGCAGGAGACTCGCTTGAGCCCAGGAGTTGGAGGTTGCTGTGAGCTGTAATGCCACGGCACTCTACCCAGGGGGACAGCTTGAGGCTCTGTCTCAAAAAAAAAAAAAAAAAATTATTTTTGAAAGATAATCACAAACCAAAACATATGTCGGAAAGAATGAGGATGTGTACTTTCATAATAAAAAAGGAAAGTGTCAAAATGAAATGCCAGAGATATCAACTGTAAAACTTAGTACTTAAAGAAATTGGACATTTCATACTTAATAACCTAACAGTAACTGTGGCAGCAGTATGTAAGATAACCTGGAAGAAGGCCACACTAGTATAATATTGGTGGCCTGAGCTTTAATAGTGGCAGTAGCAATGGAAAGGAGAGGTTGGCTCAGTGCCTTTTGCTCAAGCGGCTAAGGCACCAGCCACATATACCGGAGCTGGCAGGTTCAAATCCAGCCCACGCCTGCCAAACAACAATGACAACTACAACCAAAAAAAATAGCCAGGTGTTGTGGCAGGCACTTGCAGTCCCAGCTACTTGGGAGACTAAGGCAAGAGAATCACTTAAGGCCAAGAGTTGAAGGTTGCTGTGAGCTGTGACACTACAGCACTCTACCCAGGGCAACATCTTGAGACTCTGTCTCAGAAAAAAAGAAGAGGTTTATACACATTTTAAGAAAATAGAACCAACAAGACTTAGTGCAGTATTGTTAAGTTGGCAATTAGAGGAGGCCAATTAGAGATGTTGAAGGTGACTACACAGTATCTGGCCTAGGTGACTGAGTAGAAGTGGTGCTGTTAGCAGAGTTAGATAAATGAGAATAAGAAATAATAACTTTGAAAGGGACTGTGATGCATATAGATTTAGGCATGTTATTTAAAATAACTGTAGGCTAGCTTCTGTCTAATAGGCTGTTGAAAGCATAGGGATTTAGATGTCATTAGCATCGAATCGGTGAGAGGTAAAGCTTGTAGTTGTGTGTAATTTGTTTTTGTTTTTTTTTTACCCAATCTGATTCTCGGTTTTGAAATAGGGGATCTTATCCCACACATTTATTGTTAAAACTAATAGATTTGGCCATCTTATCCTGTTCTTTCTGTTTTTATTGCTCCCTGTTTCTTTTGTTGTCTGAGTTTTGATACATGGGCAATGGTATACTGCTGCTTTGTGTCAGTAACGATCCAGAAAACCACTGGCATCTAGATAGGATTCGTTGAGGAAAGTGCTCAAAATTGCCATCTGCATCCCACCGCAGTATTTAGGGCTACAAGGAGAGCAGACTAATACTGCCTGTTTTCTGGAGAGTTTGGTTTAGACCCTGGCCCTGAATAATGGAACATATAGGTGGTGGGGCAAGTGTGAATCATGCCAAAGGGATTCTGTTGCCTGAAGAAAAGTTAGAATAGTATACATACTATGGATTAAAGCTTGAATAGGTTTTTCTTAATTCAGCTCTATCTACCTGATAATTTGTTACTAATTATCTACCCGATAATCTTTCTTTACAAATGTAGGCCTTAAATTTGGACCATATTAATTTTCACCTTTGTTTTCTTCTTTTTCTCTGTCTTTAGGGATAGTTAGTGAAGGCTAAGGGACTCTACATTGAATGCTGCCAGCCAGATAGCATTTTGTACCAGAAAATTCAGTCTGTTTGATATGTGTTCTGTTCTTCCTTTGTAGGTCAACTTCTAGATCCATGTGGTTACATCACTCCTGAATCTCCAGTGGTACAAGTTGGTTCTAATTTCACTGCACTTTGTGTGCTAAAGGAAAAATGTATGGATTTTTTTCATGTAAATGCTACTTACATTATCTGGAAAACAAACCATTTTGCTGTTCCTAAGGAGCAATATACGATCATAAACCGCACGGCATCCAGTGTCACCTTTACAAATATAGCTTCATTAAACGTTCAGCTCACTTGCAACATTCTCACATTTGGACAGATTGAGCAGAATGTTTATGGAATCACAGTCATTTCAGGATGTAAGTTTTGTTTTTGTCTTATTTCAGTCCTTGTCATAACTATTGAACCACATTTTTTGAATGTCTATTGATCTTTATGAAATGAAGTAATCTGTGGACTCAGCGACTTTTGGACATAACTTATTTTTTAAAAATAAGCTTAGAAGTAGAAACTACATTTGTATTATTAATATACAAAAAGCCTAAAGACTAATATAAGTCTCACCTCTTTCCTGAAAAGTCAAGCTATTTTCAGTTTCTTTCTTTCTTTTTTTTTTTTTTCGAGGCAGTCTCAAGCTATCACCCTGTGTAGATTGCGTCGTATCAAAGCTCACAGCTACCTCCAACTCTTGGGCTCAAGCTATCCTCTTGCCCCAGTTTTTCTGTTTTTTTTAGCTGTGCTGAGCTGGGTTCAAACCCGCTACCCTTGGTGTATGTGGCCAGCGCCCTGCTAACAAAACTATGGACACTACCTATTTTCATTTTTCTAGAAAGTATTTGACATGATACCCCAAAAGAGTATTGTCAAATTGAAATCTGTGACTATAGTCATCATAAATTTCAATATCCTTTAATTGTTGAGAAAATGCATTGAAAGCAGCTGCTTAAAGAAGGTGAATAAATACTGGAGAAATTCCTTGTTAAAGGTCAAAGGAAATAAAGTCAACTTTCTGTGATCCAGAAGTGGGGCAGCAAATTTGTGGATCACTCAAACTTTATGGTTTTAGCATTTGCTTTTCTTCCAGCAGAGTTTGGGAAATAAGTAAGAAGAGAAATATAAATGAATCATTTTTGCTTCTATTTAACGTTCTATTTAATTGCCTTTTGTTAACGTATTACTTCAAAAACTATATACTTAATGGAGAGATCAGTGGGTATTTTTAATCCAGTCATAAATGAAAGTTGATTTTATATAGAAAGTTAATGTGAAACAAACGAGGTAATAACAATCAAGATAGAAAATATATGTTACTATCCAAAGGGAAGTTTGAGTTGGAATGGAAAAGAAATTAACTTTTTTGTCACCAGTCTTTCATTATGTCCACACTTTTTGCTTGGGTTTGTTTTTTCTATCTGAATTTAGGTAGTAAATGTCTTGGGTTATATAGACATTACATAATATTTGTGGATATAAACCTTTTTGAGAGTTCATTGCTAATTATTCTCTTTTAGTGCCTCCAGAGAAACCTAAAAATTTGAATTGCATCGTGAATGAGGGAAAGAAAATGATGTGTCATTGGGATCCCGGAAGGGAAACTTATCTGGAAACAAACTTCACTTTAAAATCGGAATGGTACATTATTTTAAGTTTATTGTTTGTTAGCATTATTAAGTTAGTCATTTTTGCTAGAATTTCTTTTTTAACAATATTATTTTAAACATTTATCTTCGTTTTCTGAAAGATCTCAATTATACATAGAAGTAAAAGAATGGTATAAATCCCTATGTACCTATCACCCAGCTTCAGACGATGGTCATAATTTCTAGACTTTTTCAGTGGAAACAGCTAAGAAATATTTGTAGTTTAAGATAAATTACATCATAAAAGATATGAACTCATATAAGTTCATCTGAATAACATCTGTATCTCCTCTCTTCACTAAAAACCCTAGTTTTCCCAGCACGCCAATGTAATTATTAATTTGTTTTATCCTAAAGGAAACACATTTGCAGAATAACAGTACAAGTATTAGCACCAACAATATGATTACTAAAAACAAGTTTAAGATTGTTTTTCTCTATGAAGGACACATTGTCCCCTTACTGTGTTTTAAAGTTTCTTGAAGTAGTTCTTTTCCATGTGGTTATACCAAAAGTTCAATACACAAGTTTATATGCCTCATTTTGCTTGTACATTTTAGGAATTTTTCTTAATAATTATATAAAATAATAAATCCCTAAAGTCAAATCTGTTAAATGAGGTATATTCAGAGAAGCCTAAATTCTATCCCTGTATCCTCTACTTTGATTCCTTCTTTGATTTTGGTTTGGTGTGTCCTGTTGTCAAAAATAGTGTTTATATATAAATATTTTTGACTGAGGCATAGTCTATACACCTGTGAGTAAATATGGTAATATTACTTGAACCATGGTATCAGAAAGGGGTTGCCTGCATTTGACTAGAAAGAGGCTGAGAGAATTTTCTGGGGTGATAGAAATTTTTATCACTAATCTCTTTTTACCTTTCTTTAAGGCATATTGTCCTTAAACAAAGATATTTCTGGTACAGTTTCAGAAAAGGAGAAAAATCATACAGATCACAAGAAAATGGATAATTTCTGGAGAGGGATCAGTGGGAATGAGCATAAAATTCTAAAGTGTAATATTCTTAAACTAAAAATTTAAAAATAATTTTGTTTCATAAGGTGAAGATCAAATTCAGTTTTAAAGAAAGGCAGGTTAGTTTTTAAAAATTTGTATTTGTTTTTAGCAATTAATGATTTATTGCAAAGGTTGCTATAACAATTTTGGTCTCATTTAACTCTTTTAAGGATCTTTTCACTCTCGTTTTTTCAGATCTGATTTTAATGACTAATTCTTGCATTGTTTTTGTTAGGGCAACAGAGAAGTTTCCTGACTGTAAAGCAAAACGTGACACTCCCAACTCCTGCACTGTCGAGTATTCCCCTGTGTATTTTGTCAACATTGAAGTCTGGGTTGAAGTACAGAATGCCCTTGGGAAGGTTACATCAGCTCATATCAACTTTGATCCTATAGATAAAGGTAGTTATAAACCTGAATTCAAGACTGTATTAGACTAGAGTAGCACTTTATAAGTTTAAAGTGGTTTTTAGATTTTAATTATTATAGGAACAAACATTTAATTACCTTATGTTTTTTTTTTTTTTTTTTTTTGTCTGGTGGTGGTTTGAACCCACCACCTCCAGTATATGAGACCAGCCCCCTATTCCAGAGCCACAGGTGCTGCCCTACCTTAGTGATTTTTTATAAAGGCATTTTATTAGTAATATTACACATAATATAGAAAAAGAAAAATGTTCACAATCCAGCCATACTCAGAGCTATTTGCACTTTGAATGTCATCGTCTGGTATTTTTCTCCTACTCAAAGTTCATATACCATTGTAATCACATATACATGTTCTGTTTTTATTCTTTTTAAAAATTTTATGTATCATAAATATGTCTTTTGATATCTGAACCTGAAAAGATTAATAAGTGAAATAAACTGACAAGAAAAACTGAAGTTTCTTTAGAAAACTTGCCTTTCCATTATGTAGTATAGCATAGCACAGCATTGCTTTCGGAGAAATTAGTTCATTTGGCAAGAATAAATGAAAATTATAAATTAAAGAATAGCGTAAAGGGTATATTTGAATTTGCATATGAAGTTGTAAAAGTAAAACCTAATAAATGTAGGATTTATTTTCTTCCTCAGTGAAGACGAATCCACCTCATAATTTATCAGTGAGCAACTCAGAGGAACTGTCTAGTATCTTAAAACTGACATGGATCAACCCCAATATTAAGACGGTTATAAGGCTGAAATATAACATTCACTATAAGCCCGAAGGTGCCTTAACTTGGAATGAGGTAAACTGAAAGTTATTGTTTATTTGAATAGTCTTTCTTACAGCCCTCTAACCTGAAGTCTCAATCATTTTCTGAATGTCTGAAGTTTCTGGTTATGTGAAGTCTTCTGGGTCTTTATTTTAAACAAAGGTAAGGAGGAAGATATTGAGATAGAAAATACAGCTTTACTGTACACAGTAGCCTTTAAGTGAAACTTGGAAGTGATACAGAATGATAGGAGTGACATTTTTTTTTTTTTTTTTTTGAGACAGAGCCTCAAGCTGTCCCCCTGGGTAGAGTGCCGTGGCATTACAGCTCACAGCAACCTCCAACTCCTGGGCTCAAGCGAGTCTCCTGCCTCTGCCTCCCAAGTAGCTGGGACCACAGGCGCCCACCACAACGCCCGGCTATTTTTTGGTTGCAGCCATCATTGTTGTCTGGCGGGTCCGGGCTGGGGATTCGAACCCGCCACCTTAGGTGTACGTGGCTGGCGCCTTAGCCGGTTGAGCTATAGGCGCCGAGCCAGGAGTGACATTTTTGATGGGAGGTGAAAGGAATGCAAGTAATGAGCAAATTAAATAGAGAAGCAAAAATATAGAGACTGTAAGGATAAGAGCATGGTTGGCACATCACAGTCTACAGGCCAAAATCAGCCTAGCGCTTGTTTTCATAAATAAAGTTTTATTAGAACATAGCCACGCTTGTTTACATATTGTCTGTATTTTTATCCTGCACTGGAAGAGTTGAGTAGTTGCACTGGAGACTTTCTGGCCCCAAAGCCTAAAATACTAGTAAATATTTTATCTAGCTCTTTATAGAATATTCGTCAACCTCTGAGGTAGGGAAGAGATTGGTAGGGAACTTGCGAGACTAAAAAGGAAAGGGTCATGTACTCAAAGATGATGCTGTCAGCAAAAGAAATACTTGTAGCCTTTTTTTTTTGGCCAGGGCCGGGTTTGAACCCGCCACCTACAGCAATGGGGCCAGCACCCTACTCCTTTGAGCCACAGGTGCCACCCAATACTTGGAGCTTTTTAAAAGTCTATCGCTGCAGTATTGAGGGACTCATACTATTCTGTTGTAATTCATTTATCACTAACAGGTTTTCTTTCTTTGTTTTGTTTTGTTTTGTTTTTGCTTTTGGTACTCTTCCCAGTAATGAGCACATAAGGGAGTTGAGTGCATGACCTTACTCCTAATGTCCTCATTGCACGTATCTAAAGGACTCAGAATACAGTCAGAAAAAGCCATAAAACAAAATTGGATGAATGCTTCATGTTTTACAGAGAAGATATATACCTGAAGTTCTTCAAAATACGTTTTAATATTAATATAATGGTCCAAAAAAGGCAGACATCTTTCTTTGTACTCGAATTTTCAGAGTAGAAGAAAGAACCAAAGTTATTTATCTATGTTTAATCACCTCTTTGTTTCTGAAAGTCAGGTTTATCTACAGTGATAGTTTTTGTTTTTCTTGATTGGGCTGGAAATCTTTTGCCTGTCTAAATCTACTCTGTACCCTTTTCAGCCCTATTCTTTACCAAGGCTTGCTGACCTTTGTGAATTTCATCTGTGGGTTCTCATTCCAGCTAGCTTCATAGTGAGTTTGGTTAATGGGCAGGAGAGAAAAGGGATAGGAGAGAAGTGAGAGCAACATTGTTTATCTGCCCTGCTTCCTACCTGAGACTGCTGTGTCTCTCATTTCAGTGTCACTGTTCCTTTCAAGGCAATCCTCTCTATCTGACCTTCTTTCATTTTCTGGTACCTCCTTCCATCCCTTTAGGCCTAGAAGTAGTAATAGCTATAAGCCTGGAGTAGGAACTACACTATCTTAGGTTTCCCTACACTCTGCCCATGGTCCCTTGAATACTGAGTGCAGTGCACCATCTGTTTCCTGCTGAGGTCCTCAGGGTTATAGGCTCCATGCAAGACAGAAAAAAATAAAAGAAGGAAGGATAATAGATGTTTCCACACTTCTCAAACCTAGTAACTTTGCAGATTTTTGGCTGCTTTTTTTATTTCTCTCCAGAGGTCGAGAAATCATATAATAATATAATTTAATATATTAATCTTGTTTGATGAAATTTGTTCCTAAATTCTTTTTTTTTTTTT